GTAAAATCCTGTGCAAAGAAATGGTGGGTTCAAAATAAAGTGAAAATGAAATAGGAAGAGTACAACTAGATGATTGGAGCTCTGGCAAGAGATGATGAAACTCAACTAAGCCATTTGGAGGTTGATTTTTTGATATATTACCATTGCAATAATCACTTGAACGAACGCTAAAACTCTGAAGGAAATTGAGTGTTGTGTCTATTTTTTTTGTGCATTTTTTTGTTTGTTTCACCCTACACTGAAAGGTAATGGGTATTACTACTACTACTACAGGTGCACTCTCGTTTGTGCAGAATGACTTGAAAAAGTCCTATGTTGAGCTTTTCGTAAATGTGATATAGTTCGACCAAAAAACATCGTCGAGAGCTCGGAGACATCGCATTTTGTAGAGAAAAAAAGTTCCTAAAAACATTTTTTGTTCAAACTACGTAGAATGATGGAGCAAACAATTCTCTACAAAAAGAGATGTCCCCAAGCTCTCTACGATATTTTTGGTCGAACTATATCAAATTTACGAAAAGCTCAACATAGGACTTTTTCAAGTCATTCCCTCCAATGGACACTCCAATGACCATTCTGTACCATGCCAACTCTTATCTACCTGGCTTTTCTGAAACTTTCGAAAGGCATTAATATTGGTAGTAGACATTATTGTCGTTATATACCACACGATAGGTTATCAAGATGTATCTTGCTTGTTGGCAGAAAAATGTTTTCCGAAAAAAATCCAATTTTTGTGATTTTTCAAACGTTCATCGATTTTGTAATTCATCTTTTTCGGAGACAAACCAAAGCAACAAGATATTTCTTTTACCAATCGATAGCTTATGGAGTTCGCTACAAGACATCTTCCAAAGTTTTTAAATTCCATGCTTTCTTAATTTTTACCGTTGATCTACAAATGGTCACTCCAGTGACTAAGGGGGGGGGGGGGGGGGGTAAGGTATTTGTATGTGTGGGGCCGAAAATGCTATTAGGGCCCCGGGGGGGGCCCCCGGCGAACGGTGGTTTGGTTTAGAAAAGAGCC